GATCGGGTAAGTAATATATTTGCCGCAGATGTACTACGTACGTCCGCGGTCCTTAAGAGGTTAAGCATGTCCATAGCATGTTTCTGTAGCCTTAGCACTGTAAACAATTTCATTTTAGAAAAATGCAGTGTTTACATTTCTGCCCAGATTCACCTCTAGTGGCAGTCACTCAGACAGCCAGTAGAGGTGCTTTCTGCATGGAGGCACTGTACATTCCTATTAGAGATGCATTTATTCAATGCATCTCTATGAGGAGTTAATGCTGATTGGCTCATCGTGGCGTTTTGCCATGCATTTACATTAGCCTCCTATTGCTTGCATTGGATTGGCAGAGATCATCACAACTGATGGAAGCAGCACCAGGCAGGACCAGGAAGGGCCAGCTGTGGCAAGACTGGCACGGCATGGGAGAAAAGATAAGGAAAATCACCTTTAATCCCTAGAGAGAGAGAGGGGCCAGGGACCTAATGCAGCATTCCAGCACTATTGTGTCAGGAATACACGTTTGTATTCCTGACACTATAGTGTTCCTTTCACTTCCTTTCCCTTGCAGCACTTTAATCACTAGTATAGTAGTCACACTTTGTTGTGCGTATCAGTAAATGTGCTATCCAGAGGCTTTCAGTGTGAGTCACGTAACACAGCATAGAAAGGGATTTTTAACCTTTCCAGGAATCCAAACCAGGACAGGGTCATCTAAGCCCACAGCACATGAAGGTCAAGATTTTCCAGCATGAAAAATATACTAGTTGTGGGAAAAGAATAAGAATTACGGGGTCAATGGCAGGGAGGAGAGTGAAGCTGAGCTTGTGGTAAGGGGACACAGACAGATTGCAAAAAGCAACAGTGAAACAGAAGTGACCGAGCCACTCACAGCTGTTCTGAAGCAGTTTCTCCAGAGAATCTTTCCACTGCAAAGCTTCTTCCGTCGATGGTCTAACAAAAGAAACAGATAACATAATTCAGTCATCTCATCAAACTAAGCAGAGGAGCAAAAGTGACTCAAGGCAGAAAGAAACCACTAATAGGGTTATTAACTAAAATGAGAATTGTCAGAAATTCAAAGTGAATTTCAAATTTATGGGAACAATATCCAAAGGGAAAACAGCTATTTTGCAATAGATTTTAAAATTCACTTTGAATTCCTAACAATTCTCACTTTAGTGAAAAACCAGATAACTCTCTATTTTCAATCATTATGTTTTATAACCCTAACCAATAAATTCAAAACTTTTATTATGATAATCCTGTCATCAATTATTGAAAAGGAACCAGATTTTTTTTTTTTAAATGAAGTCTTTGTAAAAAAAAAAAAATGAGAAAACGTATTCTTCCGCCATGTACATACACCTTGGGTCAGACATTGAATCTGACAGCTAATCAGTTTGATGTCACTGCACTATGCAGGGTGTGAAGCCGGGAAGACCATAGAGACTGTCGTTTTTTCAAACACTGTCTGAACCAAGGTGTATGTATATGGCTGAAGGATGCTGTCACATAATAAAAATAGGGGTGCATTTTTCTTCTTATTTTTTTTTACATATACTTCATTAAAAAACAATTCTGTTTCCTATCAAAACTTGATGAAAGGATTGTTATATTAAAAATAGTGTTGAGGTTACAGTTGTTCCTCAAAGACAAATTAAATTTTTATTATGTCATAACATCCTGATCCTTACTGAACCTCTAACAGAATAATGCCTGTTTTAATTCTGTGGTGGCATATTTATTAAGCTGCTTCATCCAGAAGAGCCATCACTTTCTTTACACATACCAGTTTCTATCTATTTTTATGCGTACTGTATGTGACAAATATAGTATTTCTGCTTCTATGCTAATATTTTAGATCTTTGAAAATATTTTAAGACAAGGGTTACTGTATAATCACTAAAACCTTGTATCCCTTCCAATATTTCTGAGAAATAAATAAATGAAATATAATTTTTTTCAATGTAATCCTAAACAGTGATCAAAACAAAACATAAAATTGATGCGTTACCATATGTTTAGGTGCTACCTATGTATCCCATATTTCATATAGGTGTTTTGTTATTGGTCTTTAAAAGGTTAAATATATTTCTAATTTCTTGAGCAATTAAAAACCTCACAGATATTAACTAGGCAGTACATACGATGGGCATTGATGCCAACTGTGGTTTAGAGCAGATTCTGAACAGATTTCTTATTATCAAAGCAACAGCAGATGATGAAAGCCAGACTTTTTTACAGGCACAATATTTTTCTAAATCGAATGTTACCATTTAGCTGCTAAAAGTAATTAGAGTTGGCTTGCTTTGCCTTGTTTGCACATAGAACCCATTGTCTCTAATCACAATTGACATATTGGCCCTGGGTCTAACCCTTCAGCAAAAGACAAAAGTGGAGCTCGATGTTCTTTGGGATATTTTGCAGTTGTCCAGTAATTGCTTCTCAATTTAATTATGAAGGTATCAGACCCATAATATTCCATATAGCTCTGTCATTTTGTTAGCTAATTAGAAAAATTAAAGGAATTACAGATATTATTTATACAGAGCACCTGCAAATTATTAATGAGAACAGAACTGTAACACCTTCATTTCCAGTTCCTATTTGCACTCTCAACTAAAAATCACTCTGTTCTATAAGCCAAAGAGTGATTAAAAGGGACACTTGTTATACAGGAGGTTTTGTCATGTTAATAAATGCCAAAACGATCAGCGCTAAATAACAGAAAAAATGAACAGGCCACAACCCAATTTAGGGTATACCTCAAAAACTCTTAAAATAAATTAGAGAGAAAACAGCGACAGGAGGGAGGGCTGCGCCAAAATATAAATAAGTAGTGTAAATATATATTATCCAAGATAAAACAAACATATATACAGCCAATATAAAACAATGAGGTAGTCCAAAAAAAGTTTATAGGAAAGTACTGTTAAGGTAGTGGAATATGCAGATAAGGAGCCGGGGCAAGTGGTAAGTGCTAAATCAGGCAAGGGATTCCGGTTGAGAAACTTTGGTATTGTTCACAATATGTTGTTGGAGTACATACAAAAAGACAAAAGCAGAGAGAGATTCCATTAGTACAGTATACCACATCAGTCATAGTGGTTATAGTGCAGTAACAATGGATTACTCACATTTGGTTGAGCTATAGCCAGCTCTAGCGTGCAGGGTGTTCGGTGGTACAATCCCCACTTATAGGATATGATGTAGGTGTCCTCAATCACAGAAGTGTCAGCAACCCAAAATTAGAAGAATACAGGTGCAAAAGACAGTGCTCTCTGTAAAGTAAATTGTGTGCTTAAAAGTAGAATAAAAAATAATTCTCACAAAGGCAGAGCAGACCAACTGCTCTGTGAATAAGACACTGGTGGTATAATCCCCACCTAGGATTCTTTGGAGTAAATAAGATGTAGAACGTAATAAAAATATAATAAAAATATTTTTCAATTTATGCCAGGAGGTATATATAATAGAAACAGGAGATAATTGGCACAGTATACTTTTAAAGGAACCAAAAATCCTTTATTTAAATCAAATATAAAGTAATAACATCCATAACGTGTTTCACCTAAGGCTTTATTAAAGGCTTTATCAATTTGATAAAGCCTTAGGTATACCACATTATGGATGATATTACCTTGTATTTAATATAAATAAAGGATTTTTGGTTACTTTAAAAGTATACTGTGCCAATTATCTCCTATTTCTATTATATATACCTCCTGGCATAAATTCAAAAATATTTTTATTATATTTTTATGACACTCTATATCTTATTTACTCTAAAGAATCCTAGATGGGGATCATACCACCAGTGCATAATTTACAGTTGGTCTGCTCTACATTTGTGAGAATTATTTTTTATTCTACATTTAAGCATGCAATTTATCCCTCAGAGAGCACTATCTTATGTACCGGTATTCTTCTAATTTTGGGTTGCTGACACTTCTGTGATTGACGACACCTACATCATATCATATAAGTGGGGATCGTACCACCGTATTCCCTACACGCTAGAGTTGGCTATAGCTCAACCAAATGTGAGTAATTCATTGTTACTGAACAATAACCACTTTGGCTGATGTGATATAGTGTACCAATGGGATCTCTCTTTGCCTTTGTCTTATTGTATGGACTCCAACAACATTTTGTGAACAATACCATAGCTTCTCAACAGGAAACCCTTGCCTGATTTGGCACTTACCGCTTGACCCAGCTCGTTATCTGCATATTCCACTACCTCAAGGGTACTTTCCTATAGACTTTTTTGGACTACCTCATTGTTTTATATTGCCTGTATATACGTTTGTTTTATCTTGGATAATATATATTTACACTATTTATTTCTATTTTGGCACAGCCCTCCCTCCTGTTGTTGTTTTCTCTCAGGTTTTGTCATGTAACAAAACGTTGGAGACAAGTTGGAGGCACAGGAACAGAGGGATTGAGTGCCTTGCTCAATGAACTTACATGCTAGAGGGAGTGGGGTATAGTGACACAAAAGGTAAGGGTAGGGGAGAGAAGTAGGTTGCTAGTATAGTATTCGTTGCAGGCTTAGGGTTTTGTTTCGGTGACAGTTTCAGGAGAGGAATCAGGGTGCGGGGAAGGAAAACTGTTCACAGTTTAATTGATATGCTTTCCTAAAGAAGTAAGTTTTCAAAGATTTTTTGAAGGAGTGGAGATTGGGTGAAAGTCTAACAGAGAGGGGAAGGACGTTACATAGGAACGGTGCAGCCCTAGAGAAGTCTTTAACGTGAGCATCAGAGGTAGGAGTACGAACAGAGGTTAGATGTAGGTCAACAGCAGAGCGTAGGGGCCTAGATGGAACATATTTGTGTATTAGTAAGGATAAGTAGGACGCAGCTTCGACAGGTGCCCGGCCCACCAGGGGGCCCAGCCGCCCCTGCGATCCGGTATGTACCCACTGTGGCCAGCCTCTTCTCCTGGGGGGGCCCAGGAGCCGGCCACCTCAGGGCCCCCCGAGGCTGGCCCTGGTATCACCAGGCTGGCGGGCGCGCAAGTGAGAACTCTCCCCTGAGTGCACCCTCTTCAACTCCCTCGTGCACCGCACTGATACCAGAGCCGGAAGATGGCACGCGAGGGAGCTGAAGAGGGAGCACTCAGGGGAGAGTGCTCCCTCGCGTGCACGCCAGCCTGCCTGCCCGCCGGGTGACACCACTGGACCCCAGGGAACCTGCATACAAGGCCAGATATGGCTGCCAATAAACATATTCCAGCTTGTACTCCCAGAACTATGTGTTGTCTGGTTACTGGGAGGGGAAAGGGCTACTCTTTAATCACTGTTCCAGTGTGAAAGATTCAACAGGGAAAGTCATTTTAAGGACTAGAGCTCTCAGGACTGGATGTGTAGAGCGAATTCCCCATTCGGCTCCAGGAGGGAGCGGTTCCAGGACCCCAGTCAAGCCACGACGACTGTGGGCAGAAGTGCTGCGGTTCGTCCCGTGTTCCAGATAGGAAACGGTCCTGGCTGGAGGTACCCAGCCAGGAGTACAGGGAGCTCTGTTACATCATGTATTAAGAGAAGTTAAATAAATAGCATTGTGGTGATTGCTACATGTTTTTGTTGAATGCAGTTACATACAGTAGACCTAAAGAATGGTTGATCTAAGCAGTAAGTGAAACATGGAGTTTTCCGGAGAGGTTATATGATACAGTTACAAATAATATTTATAAAGACCACTGAAGCCACCACCAGGCCACCTTAAATCACTGAAGTGGTCTGGATGCAATGTCCTGTAATAGTTAGTAACCCTGCAAAACATGTTACATTAAAGAGTTAAATCCACCTGTAGTGGCTGTGTTTATGACAGCCACTAGAGGCGCTGTGCTGCATTACTGACCGATTAAAACTCAGCACGTAATCTGGAATCCCCCATGGAAAATGTATTCATTAACTGCTTTCCTACGGGAAAGCTTGGATGCACACGCAGCACTATCCGCACATGCACTTCAGGTCACCAGTGCTCCTCTATGAGAAGCATTGGATTGGATAATCGTGAATAAGACATGCCTCGTCCATGACGTTGCGGCAGGTGAAAAGGGTGGAAAAAGGTAAGTAAAAAGTATTATTTTATTGAAATTTATTGGAAGGAGGGAACCACTATAGGTAGGGACAGGGAATTTAAAACATTAGGAATACAGGTTTGTATTCCTAGACTTTTAGTGTTGCTTTAATTACAGCACATCGGGCAAAATATATAGAGTTATTAGAAAAAATGAATACAACACTACTGGAAGGCAATATTATTATTATTTTCCGCAACGCTTTACAATATTATAAAGGGGGTAATTTTACAATAATTGTTACAAGAACAATGTTGATGTGGATCCTGCTGAAACGAGCTTACAGTCTAAAGGCATTATTTCGGAGATGTTATAGAAATCTTTTATGAAAAGTGGATACAACACAACTGGAAGACTAAATGGGGTTATTGATTGATGTTATATGAATATGTTATAAAGAACAGTTAATACAGTACTTTTGCAAAAGTATATGGTATTATTCATAAATGTCATATAAGTGTGTTATGAAGGATGCTTAATAGAATGCTTAAAGGAAGTCCATGATGGAACGAGATGTGAGCAATGTGCATTCTACATTTTTGTATGCAAACCTGGTAATACTTCTGATGTGACAAATTGAATAGAAAGAGGTATATGGATGGGTCAGAAATAATACAGTCTGAAGAGTTATTGAATCAAATATATGAACTTGATCATAGATCGCATGAGAACCTGCTGTCATCTCCCACTCTCTCTATGAGAACAAGGTGAAACGTTCGTCAACAAAGCAGGCACAGATGTTGCAATTTTTTTGATGTAGTATTGGAACATGATGTTACAGATTTGTGCAATTGACACATAATTCATATGTACAGCAAACACTTACTTAGGAACTTTTGGTGGTTTTTCAGTCTTTTCTGGGTACGGGATTATCAGATCGATAGCAGATTCTGGCTTCTGGAGGAGAGTACCAAGTTTTGTCTTAATCTCCTTGGCTCTGAAGGAAAACATAAGAGGTGATTAGATTTTGCTGTGGAATACCAATGCATATTTTCTTGAGCTCTTGTGGATACCACCATACATTTCTTACTTGGAAATTTTTTTTTACATTTGGTATGCTTATAGCAAAATAAATGTTTATCTTAATTGTCTGTAATGTGTTCCTAAACTATCACACCTCTCAAAAGTACATCTTTGCCTTGTTAAGGTGCCCAAATACAATACCAAAACGCACACCAAAACAGCTGTGTTCAGCACTCTAGTAGTAGTGACAAAATCATTTATTGTTTTCTTAGTTTGTTTTCAAATTTTACAGATACCTTTTAAAACTTGACCTTGTGTTTCTGGCAGTCATTACAATTTTGGGTATCTACCACTTAATAGCATGATATTATTATCTTGAAGTGACATTTAAAAAGGCTTTTATACTTCTTAGCAATCTGAAGACAAGAAGTAATTTTTGAGGGGTTTTTTCAATGTAATTTGTTTGCAGTTGCATATTAACATTTGGTTGAATTTCCAGCACTTCTGCTTCTATAGGGAAGGGGGGGGTGGGGTGGGGGAGTTGTTGTTGTTGTGGGTTTTTAACTAGATCATGAGAAACACCTTTGCCCTTTCCCTGCTGAATGTGGTTGAGATCCTGATGCATCTACATTGGCAGGTCCTATTGATTATCTTAAAGTTGGATACTAAACTTAATAGGAACAGAGGTATGGAGATTTTGGAACATGTCTCCCACAGCAGGGCTCAGCAACAACATTTGTCTTATGACATTTGAATTAACTCCTTGTTTCAGAACATTTTCATAACCCTGAACTCTAAGATCCCTAGGTTTATGATGGACTAACACAGTTTTCTTCTTTTTTTTACCTCAACAATACTCCCATGACCAATGTTCTTTTTCCAACTCTATATCCCTTGTATTCTCCTATCCTCGTTCAACTTTTTCAGTTTGGTTAGCCTCCCACCCACTTTTTCTCCTCAGGTACAACTTGAAGCTATTGTTCAATCAAGTTGTTGGAGATACAGTTGTGGTCTTGTTTTTTTGTTTGTTTTTTTGCTCTTATAAATATCTTTTAAAATAATATATCCATTATAGATGGTAATTTAGAGTGGACATAAAGTTGAGGACTGAAAAAAAAACATTAAATGTAATGTTTTGGAAATCAATTTGATGTCTTGGAAAGTGTGGAAGTAGATCAAATGGACATGGAACACTTTGCTAGAGAAGGGCATCATACAATTGATGGCTGGGAAGAGGAAAATGGAAATACAAAATGTGATATAAATTTTATGGGGTAAAAAGAGTTAATTCTAGATGTGTAGTGGTTGCACATTGTTAGTTAGACCTAAGGAAGACAAAAATATTTAAGTAATGTGTGCTCTGTTTTCTGAGATGTGGAAACCAGATGAAAAACATTACACAACCTTCTATGGAATTTGAAGGTCATCCTTTAAAACATCTTGTATTCCGACATCTTGTATTTTGTTTATTTGTTTATGCAATAAAATGTAATGTGTTTGAACTTTAGTAAACAAGGAGGGAGACTTGTAAACTTGTAAATAAATAATGGAATTAAGGTTGTGACTTTCCACTCTTTAGATTTATCTTTTAGTAATTAGTTTTCAAGGATGTGACTAGCAGAGGTCTAAGGGAATAACAATCTTATAAAAGCTGGGTTTCTATTTAAACATTATTACAGAAAACTGTGGCCAGCCTCTTCTCCTGGGGGGGCCCAGGAGCCGGCCACCTCAGGGCCCCCCGAGGCTGGCCCTGGTAAAATGCATGCATTCTCAAAAAGGAAACATATGCACTACAGACTAACTGGAACTGCATTATGACCGAGGAAACTAATTTGGAAAAACATTTTCAACTGCGGTGTAAAATTGGAGATCGGTTCAGTAACATATATGAAAACATGTGTCATTCAATCATTTAATTAAGTCATCATCTTCACAGATTCATTTATAGATTTGTTGTATCATTTTTCAACAATTCATTGCATTTAATATATTTGTTTCTGTTATTTCTTTGGAAAATATATCAGTAAGAGATAAAAAAAAATATATATATGCATATTTTAGAGTATTGAATGCACATTGACTTGGGTTTATATTAGAGATTTGAATTGGTCTTGTAATATCCTGGTTGGTCTCGTAATACCTGAATTATAGTATTCTTGTATTTCTTTACAAAATCTATTTTTTCAGGTTTACAGTTTATATACCCTAAGAACAATTTAAATTATTGGTCAGCTACACATTGCATTGCCTTTTTTTTTATTTACTAGAATATGATGTATATGGTATTTGATATATGGATAGCCCTTTTTGTGGTGTTTTAGCATACTAAGATGCTCCCACCGCAGTTCTTCCCCTCTCTACACTAAACACAATGTTTAATATTACACAGCAGCATATATCTTTATACTGTAAAGTGTGCTCTTTTTTCTGTTATGCCTCTTACCTTAACTGAGTACTACTCATTTCTTTGTCTCAGAACCTACCAAACAATTGTTTCCTCTGGAGTGAATATCGCATTGGATTCTGGCTCATGTATTGCAAAGTTTTCATAAATGCGTATTTACTCAAACAAAAACAACTTGATAAATTATAGTATTGTTGTACTTTTTGTGCTCCTATGTTAACATTTTCATATTAAGAAATGCAAATAAAAATGTCACTATCAATACTAGGTTTAAGTTCTTATTATTAGCTTGTTATTTAAGGGACACTATAGTCACCAATTAAACTATAGCTCAATGAAGCAGTTTTTGTGTATAGATCATGTCTCTAAAGTCTCACTGCTCAATTCAATGCCATTTAGAAGTTAAAAGACACAATAGGCACCCAGGCCACTTCAACTCATTGATGTGGTCTGGGTGCAGTGTCCCAGGTCCCTTAACCCTGCAAAGGTAATTATTGCAGTTTTCAATAAACTTCAATAATGACATCAGCAGGGGAGGAGTGGAGGTGTAGCCTGAACCAGCACCGAGGTACACTGGCGCTAGAATCAGGTAAGTGACAAAAGGTTTTTTTAACCCCTTCTGCACCGCAGACGGAGGAGAACACTATAATTCCAATGAATTTAGCAGTACGTTTAATGCTGTCCAGAAATATTAAGA